TGGTCTGAGCAGGTCAGAACCTGGTCTGAGCAGGTCAGAACCTGGTCAGAGCAGGTCAGAACCTGGTCTGAGCAGGTCAGAACCTGGTCTGAGCAGGTCAGAACCTGGTCAGAGCAGGTCAGAACCTGGTCTGAGCAGGTCCGAACCTGGTCTGAGCAGGTCAGAACCTGGTCTGAGCAGGTCAGAACCTGGTCTGAGCAGGTCAGAACCTGGTCTGAGCAGGTCCAAACCTCGACTGTGCAGGTCAGAACCTGGTCTGAGCAGGTCAGAACCTGGTCTGAGCAGGTCCGAACCTCTTCTCATGAAGCAGAGAAAGCTTTCGTTGTTAAAGATTTCTCTGATACTTCACCTCTGAGTTTCTGGGTCACACAAACCCTCTGAGGATTTTAAACATAAAACACATTTCAGCTCTGACTCGTCACAGGAGCTGTCCGGGGGGGTGGGGGGTCGCTGGACGTAACGACAGCCGAGGGTTTTAAAACTTCTAGTTTCAGGTTTTAACCACCAGACAAGTTACATTTCAACTTGCGCATGAGAATTAAATTTAAAATAAAAACCAAGGATTCCTTGAGGGGGTGGAACCATCGGTAGTGAAAAGTTGACGACTTTGAGAGTTCCACTGACCAGAGGTTCACGAGATATTTTGCTAACAGAGAGATGCACGATGCTGGCAAAAGCTTTATGCATGCGGACGATGACTCGAGCTGTGTGGATTCGGATTACTGAACCTCTAATTCAGGAGAAACTGTCAGGTTTTAGTCTGAGTTCTGGACCAGTGGACCAGAACCACAGCAAAGTCTAACTTATCCAGCCCTTCAGATCTGCTGAGGGGGTTGGACAGTCCGGTCCAGGTTCTGTGGACCTGGACCAGACAGATCAAAGAGTTCTTAAATTAATTTTTAAGGGATTCCTCGGTCACTTTTAAGATCTGTCTGGTCCTTGTAGAACCACAGCACGGTCTCTACCAGTCCTGTCCCTGGTGACAGGATCTCATGGCTGGAGGGGATCTGGTCTGGGAACCAGAGTCCAGGGTGGTTCTCCACTGGATGAAGGTGGAATGCTTCAAGCAGAAGGGCTGAAGTTCTGGAGTTACTGATCCATCCACGTTCCACCTGAGGTCATGTGGTTTGGATCTGGACTCAAAGATCCAGATCTTGGATCCAAGTGGCTGAGCGACTGGGCCTGACCATAGAGACGAGGTGAAGAGCTCCCATCATCTCAGAGCAGAACGTGGTCTGCTGAGGAGGTTCAGACACCTGGGTCGGACTCCTCCCAGTCCGGTCCTGCTGGGAGGAGACCTCAGAGCAGACCCAGAAGTCTTTGGAGACCTGCTTTAGTCTGGGAGCACCAGGTCTGGACCTGCTACCTACATGGCCCAAAGGATGGAAGGCATCGCAAGATGTGGATAAAATAATCTTTAATAAAACTTCAACACATAAATATAAACAGTAAACACTGTAGTGTTTTTATCATAATATCATAAAACCCTGCAAATATTTATAAACTGTAACATCTGAGCTTCAAACATTAATGACCTGTTTGGTTTACACCGGAGGAAAACTGGAAGAAGAAAACGTTCCAGGATTAAAGGAGCTAAACTCCAGAAGAGCCATTTATTCGGCCACTTCTTCTGAGCTGAAATCAGCTAAAGGCTGTTGAACATCATCTAAAGCCACCGATCCGGCCCTGAACGCCTCGTCAGGGTGTAAACGTTTCATAATGCTCCACCAAACCCTCAGATTTTACTGACGACTCTGTTTTCTACCGTTTACTGACATTTATTAAGAAAAACATTTATGATTAAAACTAGAGACACTTTGTCATTTTACGATTTACGATTAAAGAAAAACCACGCGGTCTCCAAATATTTTGTTTTCAGGTTAATTTCACGTCGAACGATTGTCTCATGTTTCAGTCTCCAAATGGTTGTGGAGGAATTTTAGCCCGTTCTTTCTTTTGTCGCTTTAGTTCAGTGAGGTCCACAGGCCATGGTTTCTGGACCGAAGCAGCACCTTGGTTCTGTTCTTTCTGACCCGTTCTGTTGTAGATCAGCTGCTGCATTCTGGATCATGGTTCTGTTGGACCCAGTTTAGTCCAAGCTTCAGTTGTTGGACTCCAGAACCCTTTGGTCCACAGAGGAGTTCTGGTCCACTCAGTGGCTGACAGGAGCCCGAACCATCAGCCTCCACTACCGTGCTGACAGCTGGAGGAGCCGTTTGCTGCAGTGCATTCTGGGTAAACATCTGCCCTCTGGTCTGGTTCTGGTCCAGAAGTCTTGTGGTTCCTTCAGATGAAGTGGTGCTGCCATGTTTTTAGAGAGAAGCGGCCGTGACCTTTGACCTGTGACTGACGCCGGTAGAGTCTGACATGGAGCTCAGAGTTTTAAATGTGTTTCCACTCGTAGGGACTTCCTAATTTACAAGGACGTTCACGTGGAAACAACTTTCTTCCGGCTGCTTCCTCCTTCAGGGGTTGCCGTAGCAACAAGACGGCAGCACAGGTCACCATTTTCTAAACGCAGCTGCACGGCTCGCTGCTCTCTTGGTCTCAAACTCCTAAAATCCAGACCACAACAGAAAGATTTCTATTTCCTCACAGTTTGGAGCTGCCAGCTAGCCTCCAACAAGCCTCATCACCTGGGGGTCATTGCTGATGTCCTTCCGCTCAGGCGTTGCTCCGGAGCAGCAGACGATGTAGCCGGTGAACACCGAGGAGGCGGACGGAGTCGAGCTCAGGCGTTTGTGTTTTTGTTTGGTCGTGGTCTGAAGTGAGAGTCAGGTGAACCCACGGAGCTCCGAGTGTTTGTTTGTTCTCCGAGCCCTCAGGATTGGAGCGTACGAAGACTGCTGCCCTACATCTGAAGCAGGAAGAGGCTCGGCTTTCATCTTCCCGTAGATAAGCTCTGTGTGTTTGTGTTTGCAGCCGTTCCAGATGTTGTGAGGACCAATGTCTGACACAGTCACATTGTGGGGGATTTAATTTTGAAAGCTAAGTGAAGAAAATCAGGTTAGAAAGACTCAGGATCCGATCCTGCTTCAGGGGAGTTTCAGGGCGCAGGAAAGAAGCTGCGCTTTTATTAAAGCCGAATCGGTTCTTCTCATCCTGCACTGCAACCTGCACATGCAGAGACACACAACGTGACGCTCCAGAAAGTGACTGCAAGTCAGAGGGACGTCCTCTGGAGGGACGGAGACACCAGAGGGACGTCCTCTGGAGGGACGGAGACACCAGAGTCTCATTGTTGCCTCTTGAGTTTTGCTGCTGGATCCAGACGGAGCAGATTAGAATAAATTACAGAGACACTAAAACAAGATATTCTCTAGAACTCACGAAAACAAAGAGTCCAACCAAAGACGCAACGTTTCTGCTCGTGTCAAATTAAAGGTCACAGATTACAAAATAAAACCAGTTAATTTAAAATGTTTCTTTATTTTGACAAAGTTTAACGTCGATTTAAAAACAGTTTTTGTGTTTGTTGATGTGGAAGTTGAGCCACCGAACAGAAAACTGTTCTGCACCTCCGCCTCTTTCTTGTGAAGACGCTTTAAAAGCGACCACAGTGTACACACGTGTGTTCTAAATGTTTTTTATTATTAGCCGGACAGAACCGGTGTTCTGAACGCAGCCGGACAGAACCTCGAGGTCTTTGCATGCTGGAGTAAACAACGCCATGATGGTGCGTTTCTTTTCTTCACAGATGAGGGGCCGTACGCAAAACACTCCGCCGGGTCTCGACCTCCGGACCGAGCGCTGGCCATCAGGAGGCAGAGTATACCAGGTAACACTCCCACCTTCGTCCTGACCTTTGACCTCTGTTCTACCAGAAGCACGTTTGTAGGAAGGAAGACGCTCGCAGCCGCTCTTTGCCTCCTTCCACCTGGAGCTGCTGACCTGTTTATGATCCCTGCCTGGAGGCTGATCTGGGATAAGAGCAAAAGGACCTGGAGATATTCGACGTCTTTCACCGGACGGGACCGTTCCTCGTCAACATCTTTCACCGGACGGGACCGTTCCTCGTCAACATCTTTCACCGGACGGGACCGTTCCTCGTCGACGTCTTTCACCGGACTGGACCGTTCCTCGTCGACATCTTTCACCGGACTGGACCGTTCCTCGTCGACATCTTTCACCGGACTGGACCGTTCCTCGTCGACATCTTTCACCGGACTGGACCGTTCCTCTAACCCGTCACTGCAGATCCTGTTTTCTTCCAGTTTGGGTCTGCAGTCGTTCTGTTCCCTCCGTCGTGGAAACCTTCGGCCTTTTGGTCTTTGTCTATAACGTTTCCTTTCTCGTCATGGTGTGAACACTGACTCAGCACTCCCAGTAGCTCCTTCTGCTGACTTTGTGCTATTTTAGCTGTTCGTGCATCAAAACCTTCGGCTCATTCAAGAGATGGAGCTACAACTTTTAACTTTCATACTTTGTAAAATAAAACTTTCAGTAGAGATGCGGTTAGACGTCTTCCTTGAAAAACTTTGTTTTTGCTGAAATCTGCTTCAGCTAACTTCCTCTATTTCTAATGCTACTTTTAGCTACTGTTTAGCTATAGTTACCATTGAGCTACAATTCAACAAACTAGCTTTTAAATGCTTCTTTGCCATTTTAGATCCTTTTTTGAAAACTTTTTTTCTACTGTTTTGCTGTATTTAACTTTTAGCTACAGTTTAGCTTATTTTAGTTTTTAAATTATATTTTCTTTTTTAGGTACTTTTTAAAAACTTGTTGCTACATTTTTGCTAATTTAAGCTTTTAGCTACAGTTTTGCTATATTTAACTGTAAGCACTGTATTTTTTTGCTACTGTTTTGCTAATTCTAGCTTTTTTAGCAAGCGAGCAAATCTAAAATTAGCCAAACAATTTTAGCTTTTAGCAACTCTTTTGCTAGTTTTAGCTTTTAGCTTCAGCTTAACGTTATTAAAATTTTAGCTATTATTTTACCTTTTAGAGCTTTGTTGACATTTTAGGCATTTTTTTTTTTATTTTTAGCCACTATTTTTTTCTAATTAAAGTTTTTTTGGCAACTGTTGATACTTTTAGCTACATTTGCGTATTGTTACCTTTTAGCTACCATTCTGCTCCTGTTTTGCTACTTTTACTTTCTGCTTTGTTGATTTTAGCTTGAGTACACACTTAGTTACTTTTCTCTTTGGCATGTGTTTTCAGATTTTAGCTACTATAGTGCTCCTTTTAGCTTGTGTTCTGCTCATATGTGCTCTCTGCTCAGTTTAGTTGATCAATCAGTTATTTGGTACAGGACAGAACCGGTGCATGGGTCGGAACTGAACCGGATCAGTTGGTGGTATCAAGAAGAACAGCTGGAGTTTTTAAATTATTCACGTGAGCTAACGACGGAGGAGTCGATCTTCGTCAGCCGCCGTGAAATCGGGACAGAAACGTGGCGACGTTTGAAGAAGAAAAGAGCTGCGTTGGAGAAGTTCTGCTCCTCCGAGCCTCGGGTTCAGCGCCGGTTTGCGCTCCGTCAAACGTTGGAGCAGAGCCGAATGTTTGGGGGTTTCCTCTGCGCAGTCATGGTTTTAGTCCTGTCAGAATAAGAACGGGTCACATTAATATTACAGAACCACTTCCTGTTTCATCACCTGAAAACTGTTCACATGACATCATCACGGCTCCTCTGCTCCTGAATTATTCAGACCTCTGATCAAATATGAATAAAGGACAGAACAGACTCTGTTTGTACAGATTATTATTTTATTCTTCTGTTTGAGGCAGCGAGAGGGGAACCTGAACAACTGAAGGACGGAGCCGAATAATCTCGTCTGCTTGTTGTGTTTTTCTGAAGATGAGTTTCGGGGCTGCACCGTGGTGGAGCTGATGAAGAAGGAGGGAACGACGCTCGGCCTCACCGTCTCAGGAGGCATCGACAAAGACGGAAAACCTCGGGTTTCAAACCTGCGGCAAGGAGGCATCGCTGCCAGGTGACGTTTCGCTTCAAGTTCAGATCAGACTTAAAAGTTTTAAATTCTTTCAACCTTTGTTTATACAGGTTAGTCTCATTGAGTCACGAGGACTCTTTTTCAAGAGGGACCTGTTTTAAGCAAAACCACAGATGAGGTACTCACAACAATAAACAGTTCACACTTCAAGAATCAACGAACTCAGTCAGGAATGTTCTGACCTACATTGCCTATGTAGTAAAGAGAGTGGGTTCTAAGACTGAGCCTTGTGGTACACCGTTGTTGACAGTTAAATAACTGGAAGAAGTATCATTATGTTGAACACATTGCCTCCCATCTGAAAGGTAGAGAACCAACAGATGGTGTGATCAGAGAAAAATATTTTTACTTACCTGGTACTTGATGACGATGAATGAAGCTCAGTGTGGCTGAACAAATGTTTGTTTTGAAGGCGAAGCTCCGTTTCCATCAGACAAACCCAAAGAAGGAAACGTCAAAACGTACGGTTCGATCTGAGATCTGCTTTGGCATCAAACAGAAACGTTTCCATCGTAGACGTCAGTGGTATTCAGTAAAACGCTGTCCTGTTTGGATCTGCTGCTCAGACTCAGCAGAACCATCATCCAGAGTTTCAACGGGTCACAGGAAGTTGGACCTTCCTTGACTGAACTGCTGTTTTCACGTCTGTAACAGGTTTTACACAATCACAGGGAAGCACGGAGGAGTTCTGACATGTCAAACTAACTTTAAACTGTCTGAGCTTTCTAATAATTTAGCACTTTTTTTACTTACACAAAATGTCTGTTTCCCAGCGTGTCTCTGACTTTATAAATCAGTGGTTCCCAACACTGGTCCCTGTGGAACACCATCCTGCATGTTTTAGTTGTTTCTCTGCTCCAACACACCTGATTCAGTGATTTAATTACTTCCTCAAGTTCTGCAGAAGCTTGTTTAATCACCCGTTCGTTCAAATCAGGTGTGTTGGAGCAGAGAAGCAACTAAACCATGCAGGATGGTGTTCCTCAGGGGCCAGTGTTGGGAACTACTGTTATAAATCACATCAGAGGTCAGAGGTCACACACCTAAACTCTCGTTGACTTCCACTGTACCTGAGCCCAGTTTTCTCTTGCAGCTGTTCTTAACGTGTCAAATCTCGTTCTTTAAACCCTGAAGAAGCATCAAAAGAACACGTGTGACCATCAGAGCTCAGCTTCACCTTGAATTCATCAGCTAAAAATATTTTGTTTGGGTCAGATTAAAATAAATGTTTTTTAGAGCCCAACCAATAGAGAGATTTTGGCTATCGCAGATACCGATACTGGACGGGGAAGGCGGCTGCTGATAATCGATATATTGGCTGAAAATCTTTGAGCTTCGTCCCCCAAGAGTCTAACTAACAGCTACTTTTAAACACTTGAAGCCTTAAAACAGTTTTTTTTAACGTGCGTTCACATTTTCTGTCCTCTGTTCACCGTAAAGTTATCAAGTGTGTTAAAAAAATATAAATTAAACAAAGAAACACCCTCCTGTTCATAATGTAAACAGTCAGTATGGTGAAGGTCTCATTAGTGTTGACCGCAGCTGATTTTTTTTTTGTAGAGAAGTAAAGATTTCAGACAAACAATGCATTTTATTGAAGAGAACAAAGAGAACGTTACTAACACTGATATATTTTACCTCTACGTTACATTTATTGTTCTGGATAAAGTTTTACAAACAATAGCCTATGCTAGGTTATATAACGTTAGCATGCAAACTTAAGAGGCACGTAGCTAATGACAAGCAGATTGTAGGATTGAAGATAATTTATTGCTGATTTGTTTTACAGATCAGTTAAAATAAACTGACCGTGCTCAGTTCAGCGTAATACACCACACAGTATCGCTCCGTGCTTCGGCTGCGCTGAAAGTGAAACTTAAAGTGAACGGCCATGACTTGAAAATAGTCCACTTGTGCCCTCTGCTGGATACATTGTACAATTACACCTTTAGTAAGTAAGGACATGATCCCAGTGTTTATACTGGCACATAATAGGACAATTATCACAGATATTATATGACCCAGACGCCTCCACCGGCCCAACATTTCAGCCCAATCGATATAGCAGCAGCATATCGGTCGGGCTCTACTTTTGATCAGGTTTGTTTTGAAAACTTGGCTTTTGTTTCCTTATATTAAGATGACTTATTGCTTGTATAGTTCAGAATCAGACAGCGCACATTAACCCAGAAAATATCAAAAGAAATTATCTTTGTAGTGTTTGTGTAAAAGCAGTGAATTAAAATGAAGTTTAAAATCTGGTTAAAATTAAGCTTAAGTGAAGAAATTGCACTTTTTTTAAGTTTATTTATAATTTACTGAAGAGTAAAAATGGAGAGAAGTCGTGTGATCCCCAATAAAACGACGGAGTCGTTTCTCTTTCTGTAGGAGTGACCAGCTGAACGTGGGCGACTACATCCGCTCCGTCAACGGCATCAACCTGGCCAAGTTCAGACACGACGAGATCATCAGCCTGCTGAAGAACGTCGGGGAGCGAGTCGTGCTGGAGGTGGAGTACGAGCTGCCGCCCGTCTGTAAGTTCTGACGTGCAAAAGTCTTAATGCGCCCCTCGTGTCTTCGTGGCGTCGCCCCAGCAGCCAGACTTGATTGTAATGTGGGTCTGTGGTGTGTGGCAGCGGTCCAGGGCTCAGGGGTCGTCTTCAAGAACGTGGAGGTGACGCTTCATAAAGAAGGAAACGGCTTCGGCTTCGTCATCAGAGGTCAGCGGAGCTCTGTTTGTTTGTTTGTTTGTGTGTTAAAAATAAAAACAAACGCATGACGTGACACACAGGTGGAACCCAGGAGGACCGGAACAAGACCCGGCCCATCGTTGTAACAACCATCAGGCCGGGCGGGCCGGCCGACAGGTACCGCCCCCTCCTGCCTTTGGACTTTTTGTCCCCCTGCAGGTTCTGTCCATACTGAGAACTGTTGTCCCCCTCCGCAGGGAAGGGACTGTCAAACCGGGGGACCGGTTGCTGAGCATCGACGGGATCCGTCTCCACGGCAACACGCTGTCGGAGGCCATGAGCATCCTGAAGCAGTGCGGACAGGAAGCCACGCTGCTGATCGAGTACGACGTATCAGTGATGGGTCGGTGTCTGCTCCTCGCTGAAGCAGATTTTATGTAACGGATCAACGGTTGAGCCTCAGCGTCAATCGTCACATGGTTTAGAGTAAAACATAGTCCTGGTCCAGGCCACTTGAGACCCTGGATCCTCTTTACCTGAAATAAGTAAAGTTATTAAAACTAAAACAAAGTCCCAAAATACACTGGCATCTGTAGAGCAGGGCGGCCCGCGGGCCACTCCCCCCACGGGTGACTCAAGTCCAGCCGCCGATAAATACATTCATAAAAACAGGTTGGTTCTGTTGCCATGGATACAGCACAGGCTTTGAAGTTTTGCAAACTTAGTTTTTAAAACGTTTTAACATCTTTAATTCATAAAATCCTTCATAATTCCTTGATATTGAATTGTTCTTGTGCTTTAAAGTAAAGTATTAAGTTATTTCTCAAAGGTTTGGTCGATAAAATCCTCTCTAAGGCAAATTTTCTTATCTATTTCATTTATCTTAGTCAAGGATTAAAGAAAAGCAAACTTTATTTTGCTTTTTTTTTTTTTTTCCTATCAATCAAAAAGTCCTAACAAGTTATTGTTTAATAGTAAATATGATTCACGATGATTGTTTTTATCCAACCGAACATGAACAGATGAAAAATTGTACAAAATCCTAAAGTGCCACTTTTGACATAAAGACAAAACAAAACATCTGAGGAAATACTCAAACTTTGATCATTTAGAACTCATAAAACAACATTTTGTAAATCACCTGCATGACTTTGATCATGAATATAGTTTTAAAGAAAACACCGGACTTCAGTGTAACGTGACAGAGCCCTGAGGAACACCAAACGGAAGCAGAAAATAATTTAAAAGTGGTTAAAGAGTGTTTGTTTCTGCGTCTGCAGACTCGGTGGCCACGGCGTCGGGGCCGCTGCTGGTCGAGGTCGCCAAGCCGACGGGCTCCAGTCTGGGCGTGGCCCTGTCCACCTCCCTGTTCTGCAGCAAGCAGGTCATCGTCATCGACAAGGTCAAACCCGCCAGCATCGCAGACAGGTACCGGAGCTTCACGCGCTTCACGTCACCAACGTCAGGAGTTTGTTTCTGCTCCGTCTGAAAAGCTGCGCTTTGCTTCGGCTGATGGAAAACAAGAAAAATGTGACGCGTTCACGGGGCTCGTTCTTTAAGACGCGCATCTTTCTGTTTTTGGTGAAATGAGATGTTTGGACCTGTTACAGATCTTTTTTACTTTTCTGTAAAACTCCATAAATCCATGCAGTTTGTATAAGTTTAACTTTATTTAACCAAAAAACACTAAAAACTGTTTCATTCTTCAGCTGACAGGATGACAGGCTGCCCACGAAGCTATGAAGTTCTCTCTTTACGCAGCTCATACCACACCACTGCTAATCAAACAACCAAAACTAAACTGTCTCCAACTCAACAGATATGGAGCTACATTTTGGCTGGTAGTAGCTGAGAGTCATCCCCATCTCGCAATCTGAGCACAAGTCATCACACTTAATGCCTTTTACAAGACTTGAGCAGAGAACTTGTTAAAAGATCAGGTGTGTGTGTGTGTGCGTGCGTGTGTGTGTGTGTGTGTGTGTGTGTGTGTGTGTGTGTGTGCGTGTGTGTGTGTGTGCAGGTGTGGCGCTCTTCATGCAGGGGATCACATCCTGTCCGTTGACGGGAAGTCGATGGAGTTCTGTTCTCTGGCTGAAGCCACTCAGCTGCTCTCTGCTTCCTGTCAGACCGTACGCATGGAGATCCTGCCGCAGCACCAGGCCCGACCGGCCCTGAACGCACCGCAGCACGGTACCCACACGTAAACACGGCGGGCTTTAAACGCACCACGACCCCACGTAGCTACGTTTCAGTTTGTCTGGAGTCACAGTTGCTGTTCAGACTCGTAATTAAATAATAATCTAGTAAGGCTGCGAAGAAAGCACCAAAAACAAGAAATGCATCTCCTCTTTCAGCTTTTTAAAAAAGCTTTCTTAAAATTATGCGTCTGTTTCTTGATTTACCTGAAAATTCAACATGAACTGACGAAGGAACTGGAGTTTCTGAGTAAAAAAGACAAACCACTAGACTAAAAAACAGGTAGTTCTTCAGAGAACGCTCAGCGAGCTGCAGATTGGAGCTGCTCGCCCTGAAGGCTGCTCGGGTTTGAGCTGCTGCTCGCTCTGAAAGCTGCTCAGGTTCGAGCTGCTGCTCGCCCTGGAAGCTGCTC